ACTCTTGGTCATGTGACCCATTGGCCTGGCCATGATGTGTTTATTTCTGTAATTTCAAACTCCACAAAAAGATAGCCAAGCCGAGTTTGAACCATGACATTGCTATTGGGAGTCAATGCCAATAACCTCTAGTCTATGAGAGATTCGGTTAACGATAGCTGTACAAATGATTAGATCACGAGACGAGTATGAACAAATGGCAAGTACATGTATGACAAAGCACTGAATAGACCATTGTGTTTATGCAAATGAATACTGTTCCACAGACATTAACGAAGCCGAGTAAATTGCTTCCATCATTTTGTGGTGGTACAATCACAAGTCAAAACTCGTTTCAGTATAACACCTACACATCACAAGCATTATTTTTTGCTTTTACAAAGTTTCACTATTTGCTCATGTGCTCACACCATCTCTGAAATTCCCTAGATCTCGTGAACTGTAATTACAGATTATTTAAATTTATTGTTCCTAAAATAGAATACAGTTTTATAAATAAGATAGAGGTACAGTATCAATGCATTTGTGACATATGTGTGTGTTTTAGTAATAAAAATATTTTAATATTTTCTATTTTTGTTGCTGAGATAAATATTGTCTATGCTACAGGCAAAAGAACGAGTATAAGACCCTTAATCAGTCAAAAACTCCTTGTACTCAATATTGAATATCATTTTTTCAATGAAACTTGTTTAGTGATCCCTATGTTTTTAATCTTTTTACCACCAGTTCCCTCTTTTCATCACAAATTTAGAAAATAGTCTCATTTATAGTCTGCACTTTCCTTCAGAAGACCAGGACCAAAATTGCCAAATTTGTTTTTAGTAAAAACTGAAAATTGACTCAAATTTCATCTGTTGGTTTCAAAATTAGGGTTCATTTCCAGAAATTTTGAAGAATATTAAAAAAAAAGCGTAGAAAAAAAAATGGGCAAGATAGTTTGGTTATGGAAAGGGTTAAATATTTTACTTTTATTTATTTGTTAATTTTGCACAAATGGTCATAATTTTCCATTGGTTACAGAACAAGTATGAAAAAAAAATGCACAGGTTTATTTTGCAAAATGTGACTAGAATTGATTGCCATTCAAAGGGTTAAAAACTAGAAATACTGTTTTGCATATTTATCTGCAAATAAGCGAAAATAAATGAATTCATGATAAACCTGTGAAAATAAATTCTATATGGCAATCCAATTTGACAAGTGCAGTGAAAAATAAAGTAATCTTCTGTTGACAGTAGATATTGTACACAAGCAATCATTGTATTGGCATACTAATCACCAAGAATGTGAATTTAATTAGAAAAATATCACTCTAGTAGGACATCATAAAAGCTGACCTTCCAGTTCTATGTTGCAAGCTTTCTCATAATTGGATGATATCGTACATAAAGTACACTGCCCTATTCTTTAAAAACTAATTGGTTTGATCGAGTTCAATCTGTATTTCTATTATATTTGCTCCATAAGAAGTACATCTTGGCTCAAGGCACATGAATTCAATCTAGTTGTTTTGGAAGTCCAGGAAGCTCATACTTCTGGAAGTGATAGCAAGCTGAAATTTTTGTTGTAGCAACACTGGCATACTGGCTACCAATATCACTAATACAAACTATAGCACTTCTTTCGATGTTCAGCGATATTTACCAGAACATGGCAACATTTTTTAACTTCAATTTCTTATTGGCCATTATACAGCAGTTTGGGTTTTTTAAAAATTAAAATGGGACCAAGAAATCGATTTTCTGTGATTTTTCAGCAGTTTTTTAAGTTGTTTTTTTTAAATATTTTAACCAAATTTTTCAGACATTTCAATCATTCCTGATGCCAAAAATAGTCTAATTTAAGTTTATCGAAGTCAAGAGTATAACGTTTATAATGTGACTAGCGTGAATCGGTAAGCTTCGTTTCAACAGTGAGCTGTAATCATCGTAAAAAGTGTTAAATTAATCTGCAAATGCTCAGTTTATCTTTTGAAAACAACTAATGTTTTGATTTAAAAAAATAATGCTGTTTTCCCATCAAAATCCAAGCCAAAAGATCGTACGACAACATCGGCTAATCTCTTCCACGTTGTGTTCAATAACATTAACATATTTAAATGAGCTATTATAATTTGAACATGTTGGCATTATCCATCATTTTGATTGGTTAATTAGCGATTTGACCTATCAGGTCAAAGCAGACCGTCCCAGGTCAACTCGTGCAAAACATGGCGGATATCCTACAGCTTCGAGCGTTTATAATATGCGACTTGAATCATTTCGCTTACAACGAAACTGAATGAAGTTGAATTTTATTTGCATTTCATAACAATCCAACGAATTTATTTTTTGTACATTATTATTCACAAAAAAATGTCATTAAAATGGTTAAAAATCAATTTATCAGCTGCAATGCGCTAAAATCTTCTATGTTTGGTCACATGTAGCAGCAGCCATCTTGTATTCAAGAAAAAACCCTTTACTTTTTTTTTTCTTCTTTTGGAGGTCTCACCAAACTGAAATTTTTGTTGTATCGGTAGTATCATTGACATATGTGCAACCAATATTACAAATGACAACTACATTTGTATCGTACGTCACATGACGTTGTTGGGCTTTAATTACTTTGCCGAAATTGGCATCATTATGAATTTCCTAACGGATTAGCGTATAACTTTTGCACAGTGCATGGGTGTATGGACATACATGTACATATACCCTCTTTTTTGAAAAATCGGTGAAACAGTGCTGTATTAACAAAAGATAAAAAAAAAAACCTTTTAAATTTTTTTCATCTCGGAACCACACGCTCAATTGATCTTGAATTAAATTTGTAACACCTGTGTACCAATTGAATTCACTACTGAGAAGCTTAATGAAAATGGTCATGTGGTTTGGCAAACTGAAAAGAGGTCCATTTAGGAGATGCAAGAATTTCAGTATTTAGAATGTATATGGGAACTAAATAAGATAAAAACATTATTCAGATGGTTTGTTGAAAATCTTGGATTTAAAAAAAAAAGGCATAAACAAATCAACAATGTTCATTGGACCCCTGCGATGCCAATTCTTCCATGGATAACATTAACAAATTGACAAGAGGAAGTTAATTAATTAATCTGTCATATATATCCCAGTGCACAGCAGCTGTTACGAGAAACGAAAGTCCACAATGGAAAAAAGCAGTAAAATAAAATACACAAAGTTCTATTTTTATAATATTTGAAGCATGTTTGTAAGTATAATTGTCATAACTGTTTAAGATATACGACTTCTGGTACTTACGACGAATGTATACGTCAATAAAAACTAGTTTATTAATTATTCATAATAGTTCAACGACTCAATCTAGACAGAAATCACAGTCCGTTATTTAAAAAAAAATATAGGGTAATTGAGACAATTCTAAATCAATGGGATTACCTCGCAAATGTAAAAAAGTTACATGTTTTAGTAAAAAAATTAACACGTTCAAGAAGTTTATTGACATGATCTAATAAACTGAATACAGTACACCATAATGGCAACAAAAAAACACCGAATCACAATGGATTGCATAATTATTACAAAAAATTATAAATCTGACCAAAAATTACACTCCTTCTGAACTGTAGCAGAATGTGGGGCGAATACAAAGATGTTCAAGTCAAATATTTGTCATTGCAATAGTGACAGTGGCATTTGGAGTGTAACAACATTCAACAACTGTCAATACGGAAGAGTACCGGACCGGTACTGTAAACTGCTTTCAATTACAAGGAAATATATTTTTGCAAGTTCGGGAACATTCACAAAATTTTGATGAAAAGAACATTTCCTTTGGATCCTTAATTAAGATAGGTTGGGGGAGGGGTCACAGCGACTTTTACAAGCAAATTTCCCCCACGAATGCTCTTAATTGATCAAATCGCTAAAATAATCGGCTTACATATTTTTTGCACTGCATGAAGACACTAAATTAAAATGAATTTGGCTAGTACGCTGTGAAATGAATTGAGATAACAAAGATATGGTAATGTTAGGAGGTATTGTGGTTATAATACAGAAGGGCGTTTTACTTTGTCAACACAAGAAAAATATTGAATTGCCAGGGACCACTTATATAAATACATACAACTAAATAAAAAGAATTCAATGCCCAATGCAGCGAGTGATTTAAAATGGAAGGCCCATTAGTCAGATTAGGGCCATAGATTATTTGGTAAATAACTTGAACAAATAGAATAACTCCACATGACAAACTCAAATATTATTCAAGTCGCAAATTTGTTTTCAGATTAATTGTGAAATAGGATGAAGCTGCATGTAGCAGAGCAACTTACCTTGGCCACCGACGAGTTGCTGTAGCCTGGATGTTACATAGCGAAGCTGTTCAACTTCTTCAGCATTTGAAGAACCGCTCAGACGATCTAAACTTTGAAGCAGAGTTCCTAACCGTGACCTGAAATAGAAAAAGAAATCCACAGATGTAACAATCTGCTGCACATACCAGAATTGTTTTGAACGTCAAGGTCAATGCCATGATGATTATGATATAAAGCGCCTTCAGCTATATCTAATTTAATTTTACATTGGTTGTTACTGTGAAAAGGGACCCCATGTTGAATATTGAGATAAAGCAAAAATGCATTGAAAATTTTGTATCAAGGTTATGATATGAAGTAAATTAAGCTATATTTTTAAAGGGTTTGAAGTCAAGTACTGCCATAAAGTGTTTTACAGAGTCACAACCACAAAGGAGACTTTGAGAAGACAGGTATAACAGTTTTATGAGATCACACGGACCACAGTGGTAAATATACACCACCTCAATAATGGCACAGTAATCTCATTTCAACATTGAATAGTAACGCACAGAGTGGACAAATACCACGACAATTAACAGAAAATCAATGCTACGAATGATCATTAGAATGACAAGCCTAACCGAGAGTCTTCCAGATCGTCAAATGTAGCAGTACTGCCAGTAGCCATGATCAGTAGACAGACACGCGCAGCAGTAACACTGCTGCCACCACCAATATGTGTACACCGGAGTGTCAATAACAGTCACAGATTTACATATCCTGCTGGTCATTGCGACCTTTGACACTATGGGAGAAACCATTGTTGTTCCGGGGTAGGCCCAGGGTTTGGAGCAGAGGGAAGTGTAACTATGGCAACACCATGCATTTTTTACACGATGTCTGGCATTCGTAGCAGAGATGTTTTCACGGAGCTGGATTACAACAAAAAGTTGTGTCAGAGGGAGATAATTTCAATTTGTGTAATCATCGATGTGACCTGATTACTAATGACACTAAATGAACCACATTTGCCAGTTGTCCTTAGTCCCTACATAACATCATCAGAACAGCGTATCATTGAACCCTTTATTTTTAAAACATGTAAATTTCGCTACTTGCGAGTGTCAGAGGACAGGTATCGGATTTCAATTTTGCAACATTCTTTGGTAACGTAAAGCAAGACGGTATCACCTGAGACACAGGTTAACACTCAGGGTTAATTATTCATGCTAAGTGCTTGCAAGATGGCATTGTTACATACCAATGAACTTTATCATGTCGTCCTAATTAGGAAATTAGGTTACACACATGTCAAATCTGTCAAATTTCAGTTGCTATTTTATCCAACTTTGCAATGCACTGGCATACTTTATACATTTTTATTGATATGCGAAACTTTTGAGCAATCACTTTTGTGACGCAATTTGAATATTTAAATTAAACGCTACAAAGAAGAAAAAGTCAGCATAATGAATACCAACTTAATCAGGAATATTTAAAGACACCATTATACATGTATGTAAGTAGAAGTACACAATCTGACATTCAATATTTTCCTGTGATACATTTTGTTGAAATACATTTGTACCAATAAAATAAACAGATTGTTTGTACATATGCTAGTAGTTAAAAAAGAAAATCTAGTATCTAATGATGACATCACTTGCAATGTAAACTTTTTTTTTTTTTTATTATTATATAATAAAACAGTCTTGAGTCCATATTTATCACCATTTACAAAATAAACCTGCAATTTCTACTCTTGTAAAGAAAAATGAAATAATGTCAACTTGGTTTAAATTTAACAAAGAAATTATTGTTATTTGGCAGGAAAAATTTAAAGGGCTAAGCAGGGAGCTATTAAAGGTGATATCTTCATTATTAACGTACGTGTATGTGGTAAGCAAGACACACCATGAGAGCATTGGATTCCAATAGACCCTCGAGAAAAGCTCTAGTTATTAAAGCCAAGAAGGGCTCTGCATAACTACCCAATCCTTTTTTCAATAATACTCTCAGCATGCAAACATTTATATACATGATAATCCAACACCATTGCAGCGTTAACTTCCCCTTTTAAGCTCAAAGAGGTATGCTAATATTAATATTGCATGACCACTTCACCGAGTGTATAGTTATTATCTGAAAGTAAAACTTACATTCATATACACACAGTGGGAATAAAGGTGTACTAATAATTCAATGCTATATATACATGTAAATATAATAGTGAGAATAAGAAAAAATCTACTAACAAAGTACAGGATATTAAAAGTAATGGTTGGTCCTGGGATATTATAATAAACATCTCATGAGAGGAAATATGAAGAGGTTCATGGCAGCTTAACAAAATCATTGATTACCGGTGCATTACATTTTTTAAGGGGCATCTTAGTTTAGCATTCAGAGAGAACTAATGTTCAATATCGTGTGAGAATATCAACAATGGCGCACAGATTTATCATTATGCATATGATTCTTAGCCAGCCAGTTAAGAAGATTTAGATTTTGAGAAAATACTGTACAACATTAATTGATAGTTTTCTCTTTAAAGATTATGAGCCAAATTAGGATTGTGTTGAATTGAATTTACTGTAAATATTTTCAGTGCTATCAACTATTGTGATATGATAATTTGACAGCATCCATGGGGCGATATTTTGTAATAGTCACTTTGGCTTGCTGTCTCAAAATAATGAAATGAAATATTCACAAAATTCAATAGTTTCTCTGACTCACAAAATTTTTCTGAAATTTGCTTCATGAAAAAGAAAATTGTTTACCATAATTTTTACATATAATTCAGATGTATTATGTTAAAATAATCTCAGACAAGTTTTCAATTGAGTTTTATATATAAAGAGGAATCATGAATATATTTTTGACAATTAAAATTTACAGCCAGCCATTTTTTTAGACTGATTTGTAAAACATTATCATAGTCTGTAGATTATGCCGCTTTTTTATGAATTCGAGCTGTACGAAATTATACAAAAATTAACTATTTTGTCACTGGTCATCTCTATACATTCTATAGCTTCACTCGGATTATAGAACAACGACACACCTGATCATACGAGTATTATGAGTATGTGAGAATTACAAGAAATATTTGAAGAGTGATAGGGGATTGTAAACCACGTATATCAGAGCATAGGGGGAAAAATAAATCAAATGGAAAGAAGCTGATTGATGGCAACATTGAAACATGCAACAAATTTGGTCCACATTTTCCACAATTTCAGACAATTCATATAATCCCAAAGCTCCAATAAAGCTTTAGGAATGACCTCAGAGTGCAACATTAAAGATATTGACAAAGTAAAATTGACATGACTTAGTTTACAATTTCAAACAGGAAATATTCTACTTCAGTCAGTTTAGTAATACATGTATATCTGCCCTGTCAGCAATAATGAAAACTTCAAAACTGACAAAATGATGAGATTTCTAATAGCTGTTAGTCAGATTGACACCTAGAGTGACAATCAGTACAGGAAATGAGAGCAGTCAAGTAGTCACTTCAGGTCATGTGGAGGATAACTATGATTATCTAGTCTGATAAATGATGAATTCTTTCATAAATGACAAAGTAGATCTAATCACCATAGCGACGGATGTTACAATGCTACATGTAATCATGACATCACTCATGAAGACCATAAGTGATGCTATTATTCTGTTATTAAAAGATAGTTTTGATCATTCATTTTTCATCATACATCAAAGTAATTTTGTTTTTGGCTTACAAACTAAAGAAACAATGTACAATTTTTTAGAGGTTTTAACATATACAATACATACTGTAAAGGGGGTAATTATTCACTGGGTTTTAATTTAGCTTATTTCGCTGACTGGAAAATGCGCTATTAAATTAAAACCCAGTGAATATGTAAAATTCAGCATAGAACACATTATCTAAATGACGAAACCGTGAATTTAAAACCCACTGAATATGCCTGAAATGGTAAATCAGCGAAATTTAAACGCAGTGAAAATTAGTCATTTTACAGTATACATATAGCTGTTCTTTCTGAGCAGTATAATAGTAATGTTATTATTTGATGCGAGTATGCCCGACCACACATGTATACGTCAAACCACACACATTTTTTTGTTTGGTAATATTATGACCATACTTTCTATCAGAAGCATATCTTCTATAGAAGTCTACATATAAATCAAAAATTACATTTACAATGTATTCTATACAGGATCAATCAAATTCAGTTTTGTGTGACACACCTCTGTCACTTGCATAAACACGTCATACTCAGAGCAAAATTGATATGTAAGAAAGACATTCCAAAACTGAGCAAATTCAACAGATAAATAAAAACTTGCATTTTTGTTTCTTCAATTCCTATACGCATGTAGCAGTGTTCAACAAGTTTCAACAAAGAGGGCGCTATTGCACACTTTCCTTTTCTAAGCCTTGCAGGAAGCAAATCCAGGGGAAAATTGAAGTTACTTGAGTCAATAATCCATTCAATTACGGGTGAAAGACGGCATTAGGAAGTACTTTTTACCTGCAAGTCCAACAATACAAATTGCAGTGTTGTCAAAAATAGACCAGATATTGGAAAATCAATACATCTTGTAACTATGCACTATGTAAATCAACATGCCTTTTCTCATATATATTACCAGAGTTTATTGATTATGAAATACCATTCATATCTTATACTTCTTTACAAAAATAAGACAAAATATTTGGTATCAACATTAAATTGATTATTTAATATACACAATTATTCATATAAATCAATATTTTGTTGAATATGCAAGATGGCCTTACAGTTTTAAGGATCTTTTTTTTTTTTATTCGCAATCTATTAAAATTTTGCAGACTAATTTATGACAGCAAAATGGACAGCAATTTTTTCTCAGTCAACAATGAAACATACTGTTGCAAGTTTGTTTCCTTTTTTTTCAATCATTTCTCTTGTTACTTTATATTAATTTGTTCAGGTCATCAACCCCACTGTTCATAAAAAAGGAGTTGCATATAAAATGCACACACAATGAGGTGGGTGTGAGGGGAGTGCTGGGTTTATGTGTGTGTAATTCTCAAAAACCCACCAAATTAATAATACAGTATAACTTTATTTACTATCCTTCCTTGAACATTAACACTTTTTTTTTTGGGGGGGGGGGGTTGTAAAAGTCTACAACTTTTCTCGGTGGAGGATCGAGTGGTCAAAATTCTGAGATCCATAGCGTTCCATACTTGCACTCAGAGGGGTATATCTAGGATAATTATCCGATAATATGCCATGTTACACTCCACTGTAATTGTAATACGACAAAAGCTATTACACATACTTGTCATGCTGGATATAACTTATTGTGTCTCGGCAAGATGGAATCTACTTCTGAAAACGAAACATCTAATATAGAGAATTTCACGCACTAATACTGAACATGAATGTGCAGGGTTATATGCAAGGTCCATCAATAAGAGGTGATTGTTCCACGGGACAAAAAAAAAGCAGAGACAAAGTTATATTTTATACACAGACTTTGTATAGCGCTATTCAAAGTCTAGGGTCTACAATGGCAAATACAACCTACAGAAAGTATACTGCATAGTTTTTCATACCACAGATACGTGTCAGTGTGCTACGACCAGTCGTGTTCAATGTCAAATTCTGAATGACTCTTTTTGTTGACCTGTGAAAGACACCT